GCACCCCTCGGCGAAAACCAGGAGATAGGGCCGAGAGAAAGGCTGAGAGGTGGTCGAAGAGAGGGAGGAAAAAGATTTCCTGGAAGAAGAGAGAAGATACAAGGCGACTCTAGGTGTAACTTTGTTTGTTTGTTTGTTTGTTTGTCCCTTTATGCGGGCTTAGGGCTGCTCTGGGGAGGTGAGGTGGAGCTGAGTCAAGTTGGTGAGCTTGGTCTCCCCCCCAACCATCACACTAGAAAAACTTTGAAAAACTTTATCCACCAGGAGCCTCTCGGAAGCTCCTTCCCTGCTCAAAGCGAGGTGGGCAAAAATAAGGGGAACCGAGAGCTAATCTTGGCTAGATAATGTAAAGCTAAGATGGCAGTCATGCAAGATTTAGAACACAATGATGCCAAGAAGCCTAAATTTAGTTACATTCCCCTCTGACTGAAACCCATACAGTATTGTATTTTTCTTTTTGTTTTTATCTCCAAGAAATATAAAATCTCCAAAAAATTGTCAGGGGACTTATCTCTCTAAAGTCTATTGCTGATATGCTCTAGTTTCTTTATCCTAAATCTACCTGACCACAATGATGTTCAATAACGGAAACAATTTAGCTTCTGACCCACAATTAGCAATAGTCCTTTGTGTGTGTGTGTGTGTGTGTGTGTGTGTGTGTGTGTGTGTGTACAGAGAAAAATGGAAGGTCACTGGAGACAATTATTTTTTAAATGATTGTCACTACCAAATAATGTAAGAATTTTGAAAATAGCAATGGTAGTACTCCCCATGAGACTGTGGGTGACCACTTTTGCTGCTGAGGTCTGTATTGACTGCTCCCCTGTGAGAGACAGTGCTAAATAATCCTGACTAATCGACTTAAACTAATCACTGGAGTTCTGATATTGCCAGGAGAAAAGATACAAGGAATACTAATCAGAAAACTCTGATTATTCCTGTGTGAGCCCCCCCTCATAATCTCCATAAACTGATGACAGCTAACCTACACCAAAATATTAGGTATTAAATATCTCAATATCCATAAAACAGCTAAAATACTCTGTCGCATGAGATTACTTAAGCTCTGCTTCATTTAAGTTCATTCAAATTGCTTGTCAAATTCGAGGGCTGATATCATATTGTTAGTCTATATAATTTCTACTACTGTGCTTAAATAAATTTTGCAACTGAAATCTACCACAATAGTAAAATAAACTAAATACATAAGTAAAATATAAGTAATATATTTTCACACTAAATTTTTAAAAATGATTTAAATGCCTAAGCTTTGGTCACAACATCCATGTTAGATGGTTCACAAACACCTTGTTATCCATTACCATTGGCCTGTGGGTATCCCGAGACACACATACCCACATAAGTCAAATAAAAAAATACCTTTAAAATTATTTTCAAAACAAAACAATGATAAAACTGGAAAATGAGAATCAGTTGCTTTACAATTTTTAAAATGAAATAGAGACTTGGAATAAATCCCAAAACATTTAAGAATAATGGTTTAATCTTGGCAGCAAAACAAAACTTTCTACAGTTGCACCATATCCAATCTGAACAGCCATGGGACAGTAGTAAAATAAAAAATATCCTGAAATCCTACTTGTGAACTCTTGGTAAGATACTAAGAGGTACTACACACACACACACACACACACACACACACACACACACACGCACACACCGTATGTAGTTACAAGTCAGCAGCCTGCATTCCCTTAACTAACTGTAATACTGGTCCCAGAAATTGTCCAGTGCCTGAGACAAATGCGGTGGCCCCTGCAACTAGGAGGCCTGCATGTTTGAATGTTTGAATAATAAACATGTCTGTGAGTGTGGCCACCTCCTCAGAGCCGGCCACAGAGAACCCAGAGCGTGTGCCTGTGTGAGGTGTGATTGTGGCTCCAGGCTGCACCTGCATGTGCTCCCGCCTAGCGTCGACCCGACCGTGGTGGAGAGAAGTGGGTCTCCATACGTGTCTGGGTATCCATGGATCTGCCTGTTATATGGCCTCTCCTCAGCGCCTGGGACGGAGCTGTGCACAACACACCCGACATCTGCCTGAGCAGTGCGTGACTCTCCCTTTCCCGTGCCTCCGGTTTTTCCCCAGTCCTCTTGTCCTCTCGTTCCACTCCTACACTCCCGGAGCAAATAATAATAAAAATTCATTCTAGACACCCCAACTGTGGTTTAGGGTGCTGGACTTGCAAAGGAAATTAACCCACCCTACACTGTGAATCGTCCCCTGCATCAACAGTACTGGATCTGCTTTTGAGTTCACTAGTAGAAAATGCGCGAGATGCGTGCCTGTGTGCTGCTAGGAGAGCGGGGACGGACGGACTTGCAGAGCTCTTCCAGCCGGCTTAGGCTGCAAGCGCGAGGTCAGCTCACGCTCACTCTCTGCCCTGGAACCCCACCTGGTGGATAGTTGTAGTACTACATCTGCAGGGGACACTATCCCAGCTTCCCTTCCCTATCTTTTCCTAGCTGAACACCAGCTCCAAACAGCAAATTTGAAAGCTGTTTAAGGTTCAGATTAAGAACCCTTAGACTGCCCATCCCCACAGAACAGTGGGAACTTGGACATTAGGTTAGTTCTGTCA